AAAATGCTTAATATATCAATATAAAGTAAGATTTGGCCTCTATATATAATGTAATTTTCTGGCGAAGGGTGTCCAATTGGACACGCTGGAGCAACCGTAGCTCCGCCCCTGTCCTTGTTAGACCATTATTATGGGTTGAATCTGAATCTATTTGTTAAGAACTTCTGTTCCAATTGTTAGGATGGTGAACCTGAAGAGGGGAAGAGTAAAAAAGGTCAGTACGAGGGGCCTGATGCAGACCTGGCTGCTATGCTTGAGAGAGATGTCTTGGATAATAGCCCTGGTGTGAGATGGGACGATGTTGCTGGGTTAAGTGAAGCCAAAAGACTTTTGGAGGAAGCAGTTGTTCTTCCATTGTGGATGCCAGAATATTTCCAGGTAACTTAGTTGGACTGGAAAGGTGCATTTTGTGGAGTGTTGTTTTATTTCTCTTTACTCTTTAGTCATCAATGAGCATATGTACAAGTGAAGATTTAAATACATGAATTAGCCGAAATTTCTCATGATAAGGATATGGAAATCTTATATGATTTTAGGCAACAATACCTAGTGGTTATTTTCTTTCTCAAAAAATAAATAAATTACTTTCTCAAAATACCTAGCGGTTATTTTAGCAATATTTTTTTGCTAAGTGTGAGCTATTTGTTAATATTATCTTCAAAGAGCCATCAAAAAGGAATGATGTAATCTTCCATGTATATGCATCATGACTCACTTTTTACTGATCAGGCATGTATCCTTGCAGGGAATCAGGAGACCATGGAAGGGTGTTCTTATGTTTGGGCCTCCTGGAACGGGGAAGACACTTTTGGCTAAGGCTGTTGCTACCGAGTGTGGGACGACATTTTTCAATGTTTCTTCTGCCACCTTGGCTTCAAAATGGCGTGGGGAGAGTGAACGTATGGTGCGGTGCTTGTTTGATCTTGCTCGCTCTTATGCTCCCAGTACAATTTTCATTGATGAGATTGATTCTCTTTGTAATTCCCGAGGGTGAGGACTTTGGCTATTGTTTAAGATACCATCTAATTTTTTTCAGCTGACCTCTGTTTGGTTAAATGTTTCTTTTGAAGAATATGTATGATGTTTTACAGTAGTCTTGGATATAAAAATCCTTACCTTTTATCTTTTCAAATGTAATGTAAGAAAGTTAGCTTGTTAAAATGAGTAAGGTTGCCTCAAAATGCTTGTCCAGTGTGCCTTATCTGTGAACTAATTATGGTATGTTAAATAGTTTCTTACTCTTTTTTGAGGTTGAACCCAAGATAATGGTTGGATTGCTTTTCAGGGGTTCAGGAGAGCATGAATCATCCCGAAGGGTGAAGTCTGAACTTCTTGTTCAGGTAGATGGTGTAAGCAACTCTGCCACTAATGAAGACGGCACTCGGAAGATTGTTATGGTTTTAGCAGCTACAAACTTTCCATGGGACATAGATGAGGCATTAAGGTTGTGTCTCATTGTATTCATTCATTTCCTTTTATTGCGTTGAGATGCTTGTGAATGTGTCCTTGACTTATTCTGTTAATGGAAATTCAGGAGACGTTTGGAAAAACGTATATATATTCCCCTACCTAACTTTGAGAGCCGGAAGGAGCTTATAAAGATCAATTTAAAAAGTATTGAGGTAAGTGTTATGAAAATGCTTTCTCAATCTTTTTTATCTTCTTATGTATGCTCCTGTAAGCCAGTGTTTTGGACGGTGAAAGGCGACAAGGGTCTGCCTCGCCTTGCGGTGAGGTGAGCGGTGAGGCGGTTGCCTTTTTGAATTGAGGGGCCAATTAATACCAAAAACTTTAAATATTTAATTGCATATCCAAAATGTCAATAGCAATAACATATATTAGCAAATACTATATTATTTAGTATAAAACTAAATTTAGTAGGGTAGAAATAAATGTAGAAGGATTGAATTTTTTTTTTAAAAAAAATGTAGGCAGATTGCAGAAATGCAGTCAGTTAGCAGTAGCTTCAAAATAAAAAAACAGAGTCTGCACTTCTTCTTAGAGAAGAAAAAAAAAATCTAAAACCATACCAGCTGAGGTCTCGTCATCAGTAGTGAGAGAACTGGAGAAGAGAAGAAGAAGAAAGCCTTAAAGTAGTGAGGGAGGAGAACTGGAGAAGAGAGGGTCGCGAAGGTGCAAGGAGAGTCACGATGGAGAGAAGAAGTCCTAGGTTTGTAAAAACACCAAATAAACCCTAATATTGCCTTTTAATTATTAAATCAGATCTTTTTTTTTTTTTAAAAAAAAAAGGCAAAGCCTTGTCGCCTCGCCTCGCCGCCTCGCCATTCGCCTTTTGTCGCCTTTCTGAACTCGCCACGCTTCACCAGTAAAAGGCGATGAGGCATCGCCTCGCCTCATCGCCTTTGGCGAGCGTCTTTCATAAAACTGCTGTAAGCTCATGCAGCTGTAGCTACTTTTGAATATATTATTTCTCCTTACTGCTGAATGCTGTATCGCCCTTGTAGTATTAATTGTGCTTATCAAAACTATATTTACTATGTGAAAATTCTGCGGTACGATTTGGTGTTTGCTTATCAATCTTGGTAGCAGTGGCTAGTAATATTTTCAGCTGAGTATTGTGGCATACCCAGCAATTGGAGCCTAAAATATAATGGAACTTCAAAAGATTTGAAAGGAAAAGATCAATGACAAGAAAGCCAAAGAGATATCAAGCAATATAACATACATTTATTTTGCCGTTTTAGTATCAGATGAACTAAAGCCAACTTTAGAAACAATATGTTCTATTGAAGGCTCGAGTAAATAAAATGGAAAACACTATTGTACCTGTTATTATTATCTTTCCCTGGAGTAAATTATGGGAATGTGTGCTGATACGGTGATACCAGTGAAAAGACATTGAGTCATTAACGGATGTAAAACAGTTTTTTTTTTTAAAAAAAAAATATGATCCTTTTAGGTGCTTGTCAGATAGGTAATGCTGTAGCAATTCTTTGGTGAAGGTTGATATATCAGGCTTTGGAAAATGTCACTCCAAACACTTGCTATCTTTTGCATAATAAATACATAGATGTCAAACTTTAGGTGTCTTATTGCAGTTTGATAAATAAGATATGTGATGTGTTTGCAGAAGGTGCAGGCTTTGGTGATTGTTCTAACATTATGACTCTGATGTCTTGTTTCATTTTAGGAATGCTTCTTTTTGTGGTTTAATCTAAACAGCTGTGTTATGTAATGCTGATCTGTAGTTGAAATTTCTTCTGACGTGTTATATAGGTTAAAGTATTTTGTAACCTTGCATTTACTTGTGCAAAACTTTACATTTTAGTTTGTTCAACCTAGAAATTGCACCCCTTCCATGTTCCAATCATTAATGTTTAAGAGCAGCAACTCAAAAATGAAAAAAACAAGTTTTAAGACTGCTTATGACGGGGACTTGGTTTCAGATGTTTGACTTTGCAGAATACTCTGCATCCTTGATATCTCTTCTTTTGCAGGACCAGCAAATTGAGGGGTAAACATTAATTAGGTTTTAAAAAAAAATTAAGATAATGCCTCCATGTGAATATTCTTGGTATCCTTTTTCTTGTTCTTTTGAATTCGATACTAGCATACTTTTTCTCCAATGTCTGAAAGGCATCAACATCATAATGCTGTACTTCTCGATTTGTGCAACTGGGGTCTTTTTAATTGGATTCTATTGTGTAAATGGATTTTCACGAGACTGTGTTACTGAAGTTTGAAAGAATTCTACCTTGTTTATCTATTTAGTTGAATGAATCTTTCTTTTAACGAAGTGCGAATGTCTGCCTGTGACATCAGGTAGCTGCAGATGTGGACATTGATGAAGTAGCTCGTAAAACAGAGGGATATAGTGGAGACGACCTCACAAATGTTTGCCGAGATGCTTCTATGAATGGCATGAGGCGAAAGATAGCTGGGAAGACACGTGAGGAGATTAAGAACATGGCCAAGGATGACATTGCTAAGGATCCTGTTGCAATGTGTGACTTTGTAGAAGCTATTTCCAAAGTTCAACCTAGTGTCTCAGCAGCTGACATTGAAAAACATGAGAAATGGTTTGCAGAATTTGGATCAGCTTAGGGTAGTTTGATGGTGAGCAGTTCACTCAGTTTCCTTACGTTTGTCCATATTTGGTGGTGTCGGTTATTCTGGTATTTCTTCTTACTTGTGTACTATTCAATCTTTTGATCAGCACTGGACTGATCAACTTATGTAAAATGACAAATCACCTGAGGTTTATACTTCATTGTTCATCGGCCAATTGGATTGCTATTTTCTTTCAATTGGTTTACTCTTTAGTTATCGTGTAAGTGTCAATTGAAATTATGTGAGACAGTGTAGGCGCTCAACTTTGTAGCACTACTTGTGTCTGTAACTTTATCAAATGCAATGATGTAGTGGCAACTTGTGAGCTCATAGTTTTATTCAATACGATGTTGCAACTGGATCCCACAATGCTGTATAATTTTTATACTCGATTTTCTTTACCACAATATTATGAGAAACAAGTCATTCTTGTTGTCAAAAAGCCTTTCTGATCCAACCACAATACTGCTTTATAGTTTTTAGATTGTGAATGCATGTGTATTCGACATCTCAACGCTTGATCATATTAGAATAATAGTACATGGTGCTTCAGCTTTATCAAGCAAAGGACTAAGTGGACATACAAATGTTGTAATGCCTCCTCCATTAATTCTGTATTTGATACGACCAAATACAGAATTAATCAAAAGCAACTAAACCTCCTCTCTCCATGAAGGGAGGGACAAAAGCTATTTCATTTGTAACATTAAGTAACCAGAATAAAGAACATAACCAGTGTAATCCCCACAGGTGAAGTTTGTATAGAAACCTTACTCCAACCTCGTGGAGGTAGAGAGGTTGTTTCCCAAGTAACCAGAAAGCATACTTAGTATATCATTCAAAGATCAGAATGATCTTATTCTTCCCTTAATGAATCTGTAGTACAATATAAGTTATGATTGAAAAACAGCTTACAAAGTAAAAGTCAGTAACCAAAAGCATACTCAACAAATCATTCAAAGATCAAGATGATCTTATTCTTTCCTTCATGAATCTATTATGATTACAATACAAAAGATATGACTGAAAAACTGCTTACTAACTAAAGGTAGTAAAACTAGAATACAAAGTATTTGATTTGAAAATGAATCGATTACATCTCACAATCGAAACAATATGGAAGACTAAATCAAGGAAAACACATAACGAATGAATTACCTTAACTAAAAACTGTGTGAATCAAACAATACCAATAACCTACATTGCCTTAATCCACCTTCTTCTCTGTCGCCTTCTTGTACTCCTCGAGTTCCTTTATCCACAAATCCCCAAATTCACAATCCTTCCAAACCTCAAACCAAGGTCCACCAAGCGTATAATGAATCGACTTAGGAAATGTTGCAGGATCCCCTTCAACAACCTTATTATGCCCGACGAGGAAGTTCCAAACGAACGGAACTTCCCCAATCTCCTCGTCTTCCAACCAAGTAAACCTATGAAGAAATGCCCCAGATTCAGTATTCACAATCTCAGGTGTCAACACCTTATTCTTTGGATGCCCACAATTATAAAGAACCATTGATGACCAATTCTTCCTAGGATACACAGTTTGAACTGCCCCATCCATTTTAGTAGTCTCTTTTGGAGCATAATTATGTTGTACACACATTAAAGCATATTTATCATCAACCATATCCCTCAATTCCTTAATATCCCCTAAATACAAGAAATCACAATCAACAAACATAGCCCACCCTTCAAAATTAGCCAAATGGGGTGTCAAAAAACGAGAAAATGAAAACTCAGTGCTTTCTAATTTCCCCCTTTCACGCCAGTACAACCCTTTTTCCCTTAACTCTGATTGTTTAATGGGTATGATTTCAAGTGGGATTGAAGATCTTTTGAGAAGGGAGTAACGACAGACCTCATAAGCAACATCTTCACGAGGATCATAACCTATGAAAATCTTGAATGCCTTTGAATTTGGGGCATTTCCATTAGAATGCACATCTGTCGACATTATTATAATCCAAGATTTCAACCTGTACAACCAAGAAAATCAAAAGGGTAAACAAAAAAATGATTTTTTTCTTCATTTGAATGAACTAGAGAAATGTGAAAACCTGGAGCTTTACCGCAGATCTGGGTTTGGACTAGATAGAGAAAAGACAAGATTTTTTTCTTCTTCAAGATTTGTAGTAAAGAGAAAATTGTGGAAGGGGGAAGAATTTATAGATGAGTGATTTTGTCAGAGTAATTTTTAATAGCAGCGGCTTTACAGTTGTACACGCGGGTGATGCGATGCCAATTATTCCCACAACCGACAATAGCTTTCCATTCAAGAGGGACTGGATTTGGGGTGAATTTTAACAAACCTCTCTTAAGAAATTCCAGGTTGTTTTTGTTTTATTTAATTTGTATTTGTACTGATTATAAGAGATCATTAACATCTTTTCTGTCATAGTTTGTCAACGAGTAAAATTTCATTTAGATATTCAAATTCTCATTTGTTTCAATTGAGTATTTAAACTTTTGATGAAGTGTCATTTTCTAGATTTTATACATTAGCTTTAATTGGAATATGTATGAGATTCAATGGTTGAAATTGACGCATATAACTAAAGAAAATGACATATTTTAAATAATTATCTTATCTACGTAATGAATATTTGGAAACATAAGCTTTTTCTTTAAAATTTGAACTAAAAATGTTTGATTAAAACACTTTATTTGTGTTATTTGTTAGACGCATTCAATATAAAATATTTTCCCCTGCCATCCTGATTTTGCGGACTTTAAATTAGTCAAATGTAGGCACACCGTAAGGAGAGCGTTTCGAAAACTATAGGCGTAGGCAGCGTTTTTCTACCAAAATCAGCACCCTTACTTAGAATCCTAATTTATGTAAATATGTTTGATTGCGCACAAAGTTTTAAAATACTATAAAGATTTTTAAAATTTATAGTTCAATATAAGTCATAGATATTTATGTGATTATAAATCATCTCATTAAAGATGAAATTAGAAGTTTAAAGTTAAATTATTACTAGCTATAAAATAATGTCAAATTTTTGTCAGACGGACTAAAAAAAGTGTCACATAAAATAATATTAGTTTACTACTACATGTTACGTGTGTCTATGACTTGTGCTTTCCTGTTCCTTGCCATTCGAAGCTTGTGCAAAACAATCTGTTAGACTACTAAAGCGAGTGTCCCACGCGTGTTGTCACACTGCTTTCTATTCCAAGTTGAAAAAATCAAAAGGTTAAAAAGACTATGCAAGAGTAACAAGTACATATTCTTTTGCGCACCTCGACTAATTCCACGGGTTACCTGCCGCCTCCCACGAGCAACATGTATCAGGTAACTCTGTCCAACAAGGCTAGGACATATGGGACATGTAGTAATTGCTTTCTTGAACCTTTGTTATATTAAAATTTTATTCGACTAATTTGCAGAAACAACCTTCCTCTGATATTGAGTCTTCGAGAGCCACACTGCATTGTCTATATTTGCTTAAGCCATATTGACTTGAATAAATTTTCACAGTGCCACAATAAATAGTTGATGCCATAACGAAGTAGAGTTTACTTGACAAGGCTTTTCATCTTTCACTTCATGATACACAACCTAATCATAGCACCTATTTCTTTTTGATCTATTAATATTATGGAAGAGCAATCAGACCGTATGAAGAATCTTGAAAAGTTCAACTCTGATATAAATTAACTGTATAACTAAGAAATAAGATAAGAGAATTCATTATAGTAGGAACCTTCCTGTTTGAAATGACAAAATGACAAAATTTTGCAACTTTATATAAATACTAGACAGGATCCCAGTATATAAAGCTTCATACCCAAATCTATTTCTCCTAGATTACCCTGTTCACAGGTATCAGCAATCTACTATATATCATGATCATAGCAGCAAAATATTTCCTCAGATGTTTTCTCCTCACTAAATCATATTATGCTAATGTCAATGTTACTGCAAAAGTGAAGAAAGATTCAGCCTTTGATTCCATTAACTAAAATATTGAAAGATAGAGTTGAAGAAATAACAGTACGCGAGTAGCAACAAGGAAAATCACCAAAACTAGATACTATATCAGACCTTAAACCTTCTAGCATGACTCCTTTTCCCCTAGTAACTTTCACTCAAAAAAGGACTAGCAATGAAGGCCCCATATCAAATACTGTAGTAATCTCGTAAAAGGTTATGCCTAGTGTTATAGGCGCATTCACCTGCCCTGATTTTCACGTTCCTAGAATTGTTCTTTACTCTGTTCAGACTTCAGAGGCACAACATGTTCCCTTAAAACACTGCTCTAAAAGAGAAAATATGACTCAAGTCATTTACTTTGAGTGTTGATAACACCAAACACAACAACCAAACAATTGTTCTTGCAAAATGTTGTTTTTTTCATGGAAATATGCAAATAGCAATAGGAAAACAAGTTCTCGAAGAAGATGTGGTGTGAATATGACCCTTCAATATGTTAAAGTGTTTTTCTATATTTGACAATATAGACAAAATTGAACTGCCTTTGTGAAAAGAATGTATAGAGCAGAACTCTTACCAGCAACTTCTTACACAATTGAGCTCGTCAAAACTTTTGCAGCATTCATCCCTGTCGTGTCCTTAGTTCGTTTTGTAAGAGGGGGCAAACTAGACTTTCAAAGTAAATTTCTGCTTCAACACCAAAATTACCATCACCAACATCCATATACTTTGGATATCTTGTCGAGTCATCCTTTGGATTGTATATCATAAAAACTGATCCAAATATAACCAAAATTTCACCTGTATTTGACAAGCAAAAGGATGGAGAAAACAGATAACCCAAACGGTGTTCATATGGAGGATACTTGATGGTAAACATCTTTGTCCAAGATTTTTTAATACCATACTCTTTCATAACCTACACATCTACGTGAGTTCTCGGATCAGTGCAAACCATAGAAAGATTACTTCCATATACTCCAAGCGAGAAAACACCATTTCCTTCTCCATAGCAGGGCAGCTCCACCACTCCCCATTCCTCACAAGACAAATCAATAGAACTGATGATCCATCCCTCATGCAAATGACCATCACAAGTAGCCCAATGAAGCTTTCCATTCACAAACTTACCCACCTCCGTGAAAAGTAACTCATTCTTAAGACAATGGATGCTTCTCCAAGAATCACTCTTTAGACTATATACTTCGAACTCGTTATGATGCTTATTGTGATGTTGACAAGTAGAACGCACACGCACTTCTAAAATTACCTGTAGAACACATAAGAATATATATATATAAATCAAATCCATACATTAAAAATGACGAAAAAAATAGGTTCTTAAAAAACCATTAGCAATATTCCAACATGAATTTGATTATTTGTCATTATCACATAACTCAAGAACTTCTAATGAATGAATTATTCAAGAAATAATAAATCATTGGTTCTTTAATCAACATTAAAAGGAAAATAAAGAAGAAAAATAAGAATATATATATAAAGGCATTTCGTAAGAAAAGAACACATTTAAGTTGTATAGATTATACAATTGTGATATATGTCTCAGGGAAAAATTCAAAAATTTGTTAACAGATTCAAAAAAGAAATTACGCTTAAACATGAAAGCAATTATAACTTTTGAACTTGCATAATGAGTTTCTTCAATTGATAATTGAGAGACTTCATATCTATGTTAAAATAGATAATATGTAAGCTTATATATTATAGTACTTTTAAGTCATAGAATTTTATATAGAATATCAAAACATGTATACTTGGAACTGAGTACAATAATTATTTTATGCACAATAAATATACCTACTATATGTGTATATGTTCAATATAACTGGAGACAATAACTTTGCAGAAACATAAACAACACAGTTTAAAACATGTTCTCAAAAACAACAATTAACATCATAAGCGCAAATTAATGACGGTAAAAAAAATACCAGGATATGCAAAATTAGAATGAAATAGAAAGGAAAAAATTGAGTCCACTGAATGCACAGTCTCACATTAAGATAATTATTTCCCTCTAATACCTGAGGTTTAATGAATTAGATCCTCTTAGGATGGAACGATTTTATTTACCAATGTATTGATACAAAAACAATGGTCCCAGTAAGCCACTCAACATGAGCAAAGTGCATGAATATTTTATTGTGTAGAAGAAGAAGAAGTTCAAATTTTTTATTGTTTTAAAATGAGAGGAAATCCCTCTATTTATATGCAACAAAGGTAGTGTGAACAAATATGCTTATTGTGCCTTATCGGAAATGTCACAACTCTTTGGAAATGTCACAACTCTTCGGAAAGGTCACAACCTTTCATAAAAGTCACAACTTTTCATAAAAGTCGCAACTTTTCTTAAAAGTCACAACTCTTCGTAAAAGTCGCAATATTTTATAAAAGTCACAACTCTTCATAAAAGTCACAACTTTTCGGTGAAGGCTAGTTTTAGAAATAAATAAATTAAAAGGGAATTCTGATTTGTGGTGGCGCCACGTAGGCGGGCTTAAGGTTCTCTTTTATATATGATATATGATATATGATATATGATATATGATTAGCAAATTAGTCAAAATTTCTAACATAATCATCTTATATCCTAATATAATTTATTTACCTTCCTTTTTTTATTGTTCTTTAGGCATCTCCAATTCTATACTCTATTTTACTCTCCAAATATAGATCAATTATAGAGTTTTGTATTTTTGTCAACAATTAATTCTAACCCAATTCTTTATTTTACTCCCTAGAAAAGAATTTTTTCTTTAATATTATATTATTATTTCTATTTCATTCTTATTTTTTTATTTCCATAATATAAATCCTTTATTTCTTTTTCCAAATAATCACTATATTTAATTTTCATGTAATATAGAATTTTAATTTTTGAAATTTTTTATTTAATATAAAAGTTTATTTTATTTTAAATTTATAAATAACATAAATTGCAAGAAAATATTATATAATGTATACATCAATAGACAAATATAAATAAAATACAATTACATAAACACTTAACTTTTAAAATTATTACACTGCTCTATAAAGAAATAATTAATCCACACACAAAATTTCTACAATTAAGGGAGGAGTTACTAAGGAAACCAAATAACAACAATTTAGGAACAATTTATTCATGTAATCATATTAGCTTCAACCCTTGTAATCTCAAACCTCTCGGCTCTCTCCATATTCTTCTTCAAAAAAATAAAATAAATTATAATCATCTTCATTTCGGTGTTATAGATTTCAATAATACGGAAAGTGACAATATTATAATTTAAATTAGTTCTTTAAACAATCTGACAAAAAAAGAAAGTGCAAGAATGTTGTCTCTCCTCCGTCAGACGATTCTGACTTAGATTTGTACCAAAAACACATCACAAAATAGGTAATTTTTATTTGAAGGGTGATACTTCACAAGTAAAAAAGCCAAATGTGGGTGTGAAGAACGATTTGAAGAATTCCAAGTCTAGAAAAGGAAAAGTTGTTCCAAATATATTAATAGTTCAATTTTCTTCATATTTTGATGATTTTGATTTTTTAGAACTTGTATGTTGTTTTTTTATAATATTATTATGTGATATATATTCTGCATGTAATTATATTATACGAATTATGATTGAACTTGAAATATGTTCATTTGTTTGTAAAATAGGTATAAAAATGACATATTTTATTGATGGATGTGAATATGAGGTAGGTATTAAAAATGCATTATTAATATTTTATTTTAATAAAGCTGATTGTATACATCACTGTGAATTATTGTTGGTAGATGTAAGTATAAAGTAGGTGTAAAAAGTACATTTTTATTACTTATGATTTTAGTGAACGGTGTGAAATTTACATTAATATAGGTTCCTAACCCTTTCTCAAACGATATAAAATTAGCTCCTCAGCTTAATTCATCACTTATTACCCGTTTATATATCAAATTTATATACTGTGTATTTTATTAATGATTTAAAAACCCGTTTTAATACCACTAATATACTCTATGTATAGAATCTATACTTTGTAGAACAATTTTCATTTACATCACATATAAGTTATAATTTGTGAATTACACTATTAGATTCAATAGGTATTACAATAGGTAAAAAATTTATGTTCGTATGATGTTTGGAATCTATACTAAAAAAAGATTTCTAACCCCTCCTCCAAGTGTATAAGATCAGATCTAAATTGATTGAGTTTGTTTCATCATTTGTTATCAATTTATATATCAAATTTATACATTTAATGATTTCATGAATAAGTTAGTTAAGTAATTTTCATTAACATTACATACAAACTTATTTTAGTACCAATTAGATACTCAACTTTGTAAAGCAGTTTTCATTCCTATTATATCAATTATATACAATATTGTCATTAACATTACCTTGTTTTAATTTTCTGTAAATTTACTTTGTATAATTATTATATTTATTATTTCAGAAAAAAAAACAAGAAAAAAAATCAATTTAGATACTATAAAAAAAAAACGGACACTTTCTGATCTACCACAAAAGAAAATATTTTTAAAATGTGAACAAAAAAGATGGAAGAAAAGTAAAATTTTCTGATTAATAGGTGAAAAACAAACTAATTGAGAGAAATTTATGGAAAGTACATATTCTCATCAATTTATTATTTATACGTTTTTTTAATAAAATCAAATATGTTAGATATTATTGGTATTCTAATGTTAGAACTTGAAAACTTAAGAATCCCGTTAAGATTAGTAATATCAACATTTAAACATGTCATTTATTTTAGTTTTCTCATATCTACTAATGCATTACGGAGTTCAAGATATGAGCATTTTTGTACTTTCGATCAGAATTGAAAGTCAGCCAATTCAGGATTGACCAAGTAATTACAAACAAGCTAAAACATAAATACACTCACATCCAAATATGTGGCTTTCTAAACACGAGTTTCAAATGTAATTCAACAAAATATTTTGGAGGACAAACAAGGCCAATATAGACGGCTCTAATCTTCACAGAAGGGATTGATAACAAATGCACACTTAGAATCTTCTGGAAAACCTAACAAATTCTCTATAATTTTTGAGATCCTAGTTGAACAGGTGTTGCATCTTCTCCAGTGAGATAGGCTTATAACCAGTTTCACCATATTTCTTGCATGCTCAAGCAAAGACTTCAATAATTGAGTGAGCCCTGTTGTGTCATCTTTGAAGATATCATCACCACAAAACGCTAAAATAACCTTTGAATTCTTTAGTTTCTCTAAGGAACCTTTGATTAAGTCTCCTTGAAAGGAGAGGAACTTGTTTCCCAACACGTCAATGTCATCACCCAAGAAATTGATATCATTGTGGATAATCCTAACAGCTAGGAAATCCTTAAGCAAATAATGTGATTTCAAAATGCAATGATATAGTACTAAAATTGAGAAACACCATGTAAGCAACATGGTAGGCGACAATAAACAAGCAAATGAAAATGCACAGCAGAACTAAAATTTGGTAGACTAACATTTTTATGAGAACACGTAACATAAAGGAGATAAATATTAGAGAAAGTACTACAATGTTACAACTGAAATTATAGGAATGGACGCGTGATGGAGTCTTGAGTGTAGCCCCACTTTGTTGACATATCTTTGGCGAAAGAACAAAAAGAAGTTCAACTTTAACCCCCTCATTCACAGTAAATACGATAAAGTATAAACAAGTTCAGTATCAAAGGGGGTTGTACCTACGATGGCCTGAAATCCAAGGCTATACTTTGCCTCAAAAGGAGATGAGTATCGGTGGTCATAAAATATTCTAATAATATAAGACAATTACATAAAGGATGGAATACATACCATGAGGAATAATAATCTCTAACTAAATGGAGCAAACATGAGGAAAATATTAGAGAGTGGAAGAAACCAAAATATTTCAAAGCAAGAAATCAATTGAAAACATACCAGTTCAGGTAGTAATGTCAAATTCTCCAGATACGGAGTTGAGCTTAACAGGTTGCCTATACTGAGGAAGGAACATTTTGTAATAAACGAATTTATTGTCAACCATTTGCACTCCAGCAACGGCAACGGCAAGTCTGCATTTTCCAACATCAACTTGGAAATCACCTAAACATAAGCGAGAAGCAGAGTGTCACGTAAGCACACAGAATATCACAAAATAAAATTATGGGGCTTGAAAAAAACAAAAAATTATGGATTTAACTTCTGCTCTTTTACAATCCCCCCCTACACACGCACACACAAAGAATTCAAGATTATGGTCTTTTAACCTTTAGCATAATTCAGCTACATCTTTTATGTCACGACCCAAAAATAGATGTGATGGCACTCGTCGTATCCCACCAAGACAAGTCAGCCTAAAACCCAATCATTTTGATAAAGTGCGGAAATAAAGCAAAGTTCAATAGCAATTACTATTACGAAAACAAGTCAACTTAATTAAATCCCCAAAACCTGGTTGTCACGTGCACAAGCCTCTAATGTAAATACTAGAATTGAAAGAAAATACGCAAGTCTCAAATGACGTTGTCTTTCAAGTAAAAACAAAATCATAAACAGGAGTAAGAAGGTTCGCTGAGATGACAAACAGCTACCTCTCAGATCTCCACAGAAAACCTCGGAAACGAAGAGAATTGAAGGTATCACGAAGATCCGGGCTCGTAACCTACAAAAGATTGTAGAAGCAAGGGGTGAGTACCAAACCACACGGTACTCAACAAGCAAACCTCTAAACACAAGCTAAGAGTACAGAATACGAGTACTCCTTACACCCCATCCTAACCTCCATAACTACAACCTGCATAAAACCAACCCAACCTAACAATTTACAATTTACAAAGCATACAACTCAACAATAGCACTCTAACAGGTCATATATTCTCAATACACCTCAATATTCGTCAATAACCAATTTCACAGAAAGGCACTCACAAGATCAGCAACACACAAGATCAAATTCATTAATAATAAAAATGTGCAATGCAATGAAATGCAATGTCAATTATAGTGATGCATGTCTGACCTAATGATACACACCCGCTGTCTCTCAGTCCGGGACCCATGGGGGACATATCTGTCCATGCATCCATCGCGGCGCGCGATACGTCCCTCGAAATATAATATCCGTCGCGGCGCGCGACACGTCCCTCGAAATATAGTATCCATCGCGGCGCGCGATACGTCCCTCGAAATGGTACATCCTCCTTAATTTCTTATTCTTTCTCAATGCACATAACACTTGTCACAACCATGTCTCAGAATAATGCAAATGACATGTTCACACAAATAATGAGGAGATGACCATTTTCATAACATTGCACAAATCACAAGTTCAACGATGATTCAACAAGTCTTTCAAACAATTCTCAACACATTACACAAATAATTGATCACATTACTCCCAAACATATACCACAAGGAAATACACGAATTCCATACGCTTAACAAGGGTTTAGAAATCCACTTGCCTTAATCAATCAAGAATTCACTCCGGAACTTGAGCCTTCCCTTTTCGTTGAACTTCCAACTCTAAGCAATCTATTCAAATGAATGACCACAGTAAGATTCCCAAAACTAACAACACTCATATTACTATGTGTTTAGCTTTGACCCAAAAATTCACCCAAGTTTATAATCAAATTCCTAATCTTGATACCAATAACATGTCAACTCTTCAATTTTCTCCAAATTTCAAATCTAGGGTTAAGTTCCAATTTCTCCATATATCAACCTAATGGTATTCATATAAGTTTATACCATTATATTTAATTACTTATTTCAGTATAGAAAAACTTTGAATTATAATATAATAAGTATACGGATAAAGAACAAAATATCCAAGACGAATAAAGTTTGTGAATCCTTAATTCATTCGCTGGAAGTTACAACATGAAATCATCAATTCACCACCAATATTCCTTCCAATCATTTAGGCCATTATTACCTAATCATTAAACTAAGGTCTTGCCAATCATTATTAACCACTATTTAACTATTAAAAATTGAATCCTATCTAATAATATACACAACAACAACAATCTCCTGCCATCCCACTATCATATTACTTCATTAACGTCAATGTAATATGTTTGTTCTCTCGCCTAAGCCTTTAATTGTAAAATCACTAGATTTGGAGATACAATTCTCACCTGAATGCTCTTGTCGACGGCGCAGGTGAGTATTCCAACCCTTTCTATTTCTTTTTCTCGGCTGCGCAAGTGAACTGCTGTTGTTCACAACAATCAGCAACATTTACCCTTTTATTTCTTTTTTTTTTCCTTTTATTATTTATTTATTTATTTTCCTTTTCTATTATTATTAGCAACAAAAATAATCTTTTATTAAATCTGAAAATCATTCCACTCATTCTTGTAAGTCATAACTTATTTAGAAAAACTACTAAAAAGGGCTAATAAAAAAAACTAATGATTAAAATACATAAAACGACTAAGAGGGTCGTTACATTTTAGCTCATTAAGGTTTGATACTTGCAACTAATAAACATTTCTAACACAAGGAATCACAATTAGATACACATTGCTGAATCTAGAGAAGTGGCAATAAACAAACATTACCCTTCACCAGTTGGTTAAAAAATTTATTGACCACAACTAGTGAAGACAATATTATTTATTAAAATGTCACATTAAATTCAATTGAGAAAGCCTCATTAATATAGAACAGTGTCATGCAAACATAAAACATCGAAGGGGCAAAAGAAATGGCTACAGCGTTTGACTTGCAATAATGCAAAGACTCCCTCAAGAACTGAAGACCGTTTTTCTTTGGGTTAGAACCTTATCTTCCTCTACATGGCTATTGGTATAGGTTTCACAAAATCTTTTAGTAGGTCTCTCTGTTTTGGAACATGCTATTGGTTGGAGTTCATTCAATTTTTTGAACAATAATGCTAGATTTTATAGAATTTTAATACAAAATGACTAATGTTACAAATTAGTGCTGAAAAGAATTGCAAGTGGTTGTATCTGTTCTATATCTCTTCCTTATCTTTTGGTATCTCATTGTCTCTTTCCGTTTTTCTTTAAATCATTCTAACCTTCGGCGCACTATTCGTTAATTAATCTTGTAAGGAACTTCTATTTGAGAATGTTATTGATTATTAAGTCTTGATGCACTTGAAGCCACCAAATTAAGGCTGTTCTAACTAAAGCAGCCCATTCACTTCAGTCCATTACAAAATGGATAGATCTGTGCAATATGGTAGAAAGGCTAAGACCTGTAAAGAGATAGAAACAAGTATGTTGGAATAAAGCTCCTCAGGGCACTATCAAAGTAAACACTGATGGGAGCTTCTCACAACATTATGGCAAAACTGGCATAGAAGGAATTGTTAGAGATAGTCAAGGTGATTTTATCATGGCTTTCTCTTTCTCAACCCAATATAGCAGTAGCAACAGGGCTGAAGCTATTGTGGCAGAGTTTGGAGTGAAATGGTGGTCTTAATGGGCATCCTAATTTCACTTTAGAACTTGACTCATGTTTGTGGCCAACACGGTGACAAAGGAGGACAGTTCCAATCTGAAGTTTAAGCAGATCGTGGACAACATCATTAATTACAAGAGGAGAGCTGGAATCAAAATCAATCATTGCTACAGAGAGGGAAACCAGAGAGCAGATTTGCTTTCCAAACTTGTCTCAAGCAATGATCAGAACTTGTTGATCCATTCCCTCCATCAACTTCCAGGGAAGGTTAAGGGTTTGCTACAACTTGACAAGTGCCAAATGCCTATTAGGACAAAGCTTGACAAAGCTATTTTTTTTTCTGTAAGCTGTGTTTTTGTGTACATAGTTAACACCAGAGGGTTGTAAAATTATTAGGCATTCTGGACTGATGGATGATAATATCACCAAGTAGCTACAAAGATGTGTTGTATTGAGGCCCTTTTTGCTTATGCAACACCACACAGACATTGCCTTGGTAATTGAATAAACAAAAACAAAAACAAATTAAACTAATAGAAGGAGCCAGTATTTAACCTCTCATACTTGACCAAAACCATATGAGTTAAACAGGAACAAGAATCAAAGACAAACATATCAAGTTAGCGACCTATAACTGACAGACCTAACACCCCCACCCCAGAATGCAATTAAAAAGCCTCTCACTAGACATGCAAATGATGAACTCTGGTCATTAATATTGATATAGACTATAAACGAGAGTAACTATATTCATGTTCAACTTGAAAAGATTAGAGATATTTGAGACTGAAAACTAACCTCGATAAACCAGGAAGGGACCGTTAGTTCACTAGCATAACGTACGTCTGCTAAGATATCTTTGATGTCAATTAGATCATTTGTAACACCCCAAGTGTGATTATGGAAATTAAGATCTGCATGGACCAAAGAAGAAATGTCGCGGAGTCTAAATTTCACACCATGGAAAGCCCCAGATATCTCTAAATGCTGAACAAATGGAGCAACAATATCGAAGAAGCAATGATTGTCAAGTGGATCCGAATCATTCAAGGGATGCCTATGATCAATCAATAGCAATCTCGTGCATTTTGGATAAGTTATATGCAAATGATGAAGACCACAAAATTCACTTAGCTCCAGCGATTCCAGCTGAGGACAACCTGATGATATTTGTTTAATGTTTTCATCCCCCAGAAGCAAATTAGTCAGAGTTAAACTCTTGAGGGTTGGCCAATTGAGTACACAATTTTCAGATAATTTACAATACTTGCAATTTAATCCTACAAGGGATGAGTTACTGCAGAGAACTTGGGGCAACGTATAAGGTTGCTCATTAGAAACCCAAACTTTCAAATAAAGATCCTTCACATTTTTGTTCACAGCAATTTCAAGCCATTTATCAATTTTGGAAATAGTAGACACATCATCCTGGTTAAGTACAAACTCAAGACTGAACTCTTTAATGTTAGAGCATCTATGGAGACGCATTACATTGTCAGTGAAGGAAATGAACCTGTTGGCTTTCGAGCTACTGTTGAGTTTCGAGGTTTTAAACAGGAAGAAACCATCCCTGCTGTCAAAATTCAGATTGTCGATGTAAGTCCATAGGTACTGCCAACGCTTAGAGAGAATAGATGTTTTGCATGCATCGGTTAAGGTCAGTAGAGAAAGAATTTGAACGATAACAGAGTCAGGCAGCAGACTAATCCAATCAATACCGCTGGTTTCACTCCGAATCCTCTTTGTTTTCGAGTTTCCACAACTGCCAGCGGATTGCTTTTCCTCTTCTTTGCCCATCCTTTTCTCTGTTCCGACACAAAATCGGTGAAATCACACAGCAGAAGAAGTAGAGAGGGAAAAGATAGATTTACTGTGGAGTAGCAAATTATTAGGGCTAAGATGGGGGAAGTGATCCGTCAATATTCGGAATTGGAATAAGACGGTCGACTGTCAAAATGGGACGGGTTATGACTTGGCCCCATTTTAAAATTTAAATTAATTTAACAAGCCCTCTTCACCATAATCAAAGAATAAATTAGAAACAAAAAAGGAAAAAATTAGCAATTAAGTCATAACACCTAACATAATTAGTCAAAATAACAACACTTTAAAATATTTATTTAAAATGGCAGAATGACAATATTTTTATAAAATAACATGTATTCAGATTTTAGTATTTAAAATTAATTTTATTTATAGAAAGAGTCCTATATTGGACCAAATTATATACCAATAACCGTTTAAAGAAAAAAAAAATTAAGCCAATACACATTAACCTTTTTTCAACTCCATTCACGTTTCTTCCCCACTTTTCACGTTTCTTCCCCACCTTTCATGTTTCAAGTGTATCTTTCTTCAAGGTGCTAAATTGTTGTTCATCAAGAAATCTTCTTTATTGTTAAATGAAATCTATTTATTAATTCAAGCAGATTTATTGATTGACAAGGTAATTTCCATTATCCATTTTGATTTGACACCGATTCTATATATTACGGATTTTCAGTCGAATTTTTCAATTTTTATGTGATTTTGTTTAGTTATTCATCAAATAGTTATGATTTTCAATTTTTTTGTGATTTTCTTTTAATTTTTCAGATTTTGGAGAATCTAGAAATTCATATGTACGTTTATTTTGTTTGATATTTAATACATTCTAATTTTTGATAATTTCGAAATTCAAATTATCAAAAAATTTGTCTTCATATTTGAGATTTAGTAGATTGTAGTAACTACATTAGCACACATACATCATCTATTGTTTGATTTCTTTATACATTCATATTTAATAATTTTGAATTTTGCTTATAGGGTTACTAATGCACAAGTGAATACGGATTCAGATTCGGTTTTGATGGAAAAAAAATCGAAAAAAAGAACATAGTAGATGAAGAAGAAGAAGAAAGACAAAGTCAAAGAAGAAGGTTACAAAATTGAATTCATACCACAACTGTATTCCTATTAATTTTTGTTTGTCAATTGTTTTTCTTTTACTCATCATTTGTATTTTTATTTTAAAACATTGTATTTCTTTTTTAGTTTGTAGTAATTTAAATAGTTATATAATGTATTCGTCACAATTCTATATCTTATGATTGAATACATAATTTATATAATTGTGACGAATACATTATAAGAAGGGCAATGGAAACTTATTGGTATTCATTTTTTCGTTTGAAATACAAAATCATATTGAAATACAACCTGATATTTGAAATACAAACTTAGTAAGACATATTTTGTATTTTATTTGGCTAAAGCAATATAATTTTATGAATACATAATATATAAAATTGTGCGACGAATACATCACAAGAAGGGGAATACAAAATTATTGACATTCATTCTGCGTTTGATATACAAAATGATATTGAAATACAACATGATATTTGAAATAAAAACTAAGCTAGAAAATACTTTCTGCAAATTTAAAGTGAAATAATAATATAACAAAATTGGATATTGAAATATAAATACAATTTATTTTGAATAAACTTATTCTATAAATACAATTTATTTTGAATAAACTTATTCTATGTATTATATATGTATTCATCGCAATTGTATTTTTCAATATCATTATGATCTACAACTAATTTGTATTTATATTTTGGTATATACTACACAACTGCCTTTATTTTTGTACTTGAACTAGAATGTCAAAGAGTTGTATTCATAATAAATCAATACCAACATTTTTTGTATTTTAAATTAGTTATACATATCATTAGGTATTTGAATACATTTCGGATGAACACATATTCAAAGAAGTTCAAACATTTAAATATCCAAAACAGAGGGCATTAGAAATTTTCCAACACTTCCACTCATATAAGATATAAAATACAAACTACTATTTTCAAAAAAAAAATATGAAATTCTTAAGAACAAAGAAAAAAACGCTAGAAAGAAAAATGGCAACATATGCTTCTTCAAAAACGTAACTGATGTTAAATTTTTTAAAAAAAATACCTTTTTTGAAATTTTTTGTTCCATGATTTTCTCTATTCAGTTATTAATTATTTGTATTCTTTCAAATTAATCAAAATAAAATAAATACATAACTCAATCCTTAACAAACTAAAATATTGACATTTTAAATAAATAGTGAAACTATTGCTAAGGAGTCCCATTAAAAGCTAAAATATTGTTGTTTTGAAAATTTTCCCATTAAAAAAACTTACAAACTTTGATAAGAAAATTTTTGATCCTCTATCACGTCACCATATTATATAATTGATTGATCGAAGATTAACTTAGAATTCGAACTCGCAACTATGCCTGGGAACTTGTGACCCAAACCAACCAAGCTACATACAATTTTGGTCACGGTGTCACTTAAAAGAATATGGGTGTGTTTGGTATGAAGAAAAATGTATGTTTAGTTGATTTTTGACTTATTTTCTCATGTTTGTTTGGTGAGTAAAAAAATTTTTTAGTGTTTGATTTATGGATGAAAAATATTTTTGAAAAATATATTTTATTTTTACTAGAGTAGAAAATAATTTTTGAAATAGAAAATATTTTTTAAAAACAAACTTAAATTTTTTTTGAGGGTGGGGGGGTCGAGGGTAGGGGTGAAAAATTGAAATTTTGAAGTTGAAAATATTTTTTTAAAACAAACTTAAATTATTATTTATTTTTTTTTTGGGGGGGGGGGGTTCAAAGGTAGGGTGAAAAAATGAAATTTTGAAGTTGAAAATATTTTTTTAAAAACAAACTTAAAATTATTTTTTTTTTTGGGGGGGGGGGGATGGTAGGGGGTGGGGTGGGTGGGGGTCGAGGGTAGGGTGAAAAATTGAAATTGAAAATAGTTTTTAAATTATTTTTTTTTGGGGGGGGGGGGGGGGGTCAACGGTAGGGTGAAAAAATGAAATTTTGAAGTTGAAAATATTTTTTAAAAACAATTTTTTTTGGGGGGGGGGGGGGGTAAGGGGTGAGTGGGTGGAGGGTGGAGGGTGGAGGGTAGGGGTGAAAAAATGAAATTTTGAAATTGAAAATATTTTTTAAAAAGAAACTTAAATTTTTTTTATTTTTTATTTGGCGGGGGGGGGGGGGGGGGGGGGGGGGTCAAAGGTAGGGTGAAAAAATGAAATTTTGAAGTTGAAAATATTTTTTAAAAAACAAACTTAAAATTTTCTTTTTTTCTTTTGGGGGGGGGGGGGGGGGATGGTAGGGGGTGGGGGTCGAGGGTAGGGTGAAAAATTGAAATTTTGAAGTTGAAAATATTTTTTTAAAAACAAACTTAAATTATTTTTTTGGGGGTAGGGGTGGTGAGTAGGGGAGGGGGGGTCGAGTGTAGGGGTGAAAAAATAGTTGAAAATATTTTTTTAAAAACAAATTCAATTTTTTTGGGAGGGGGGGTGTGGGCTGGCCGGGGAGGGGGGTGGGTGATCGAGGATTGGGATGAAAAAATAAAAAATTGAAGTTGAAAATATTTTTTAAAAACAAACTTAAAAACAATAAAAAATTGATGGGGGGCGAGGGTAGTGGGTGGGGGGTAAAAAAATAAAAAATTGAAATTAGAAATATCTTTTAAAACAATTTTTAATATTTTTTTGGGAGGGGGTGGGGGTAGGAGTGAGGGTGGGGTAAAGAAATTGAATTTAAAAACAAGCTTTAAAATTTTATTTTATTTTTGGGAGGAAGGGGGTGGTTGGGGGGCTGGCTTGAGGGTAGAGACAAAATAAATTGATTTTTTCAACAAAAAAGTAATTGTAATTTGAAGTTGGAAGAGAGTTTTGGAAAATGTTTTCCTTAAGTTTTGAAGGAAAGTCATTTTCTTTAAATTTGAGGAAAATGAGTTGATTTGGAAAACATTTAACCCAACCAAACATGAGAAAATTGGATTTTCCTTCATACCAAACACACCCTATATCTTTTATGTTTGCTTTTGCTTTTTAATTAGGACAAATTACTTAACTACACTCCTTTACCTACCTTAATATCCATTTATCCCTACTTATTTCAAAATTTTCAAAAATCCCTTATTTTACCTATGTATCCCGCATGTATCACGTGCACAACGCTATGTATCTCGCTATGTGGAATGTATCAAACGATAATATCATGTGCACAACGCTATGTATCCCGCATGTATCCCGTGCACAACACTATGTATCCCGCTATGTGGAATGTATCAAACCTAATGTATTCCGTGCACAACGCTATGTATCCCGCTATGTGGAATGTATCAAACCTAATGTATCTCGTGCACAATGCTATGTATCCCACAAACATCATTTTTAAGGGATTTTTGGTAAATAGAAAACTAGAAGGGATATGATGTTATTTAGTACTTATAATATGTGGTTCCTATAATTTATACTTTTAATTATATAAACCTATTTAGTAAATTCCGAGTTGGGCCTTCCTAAATCCACACCCGGACACAATCATCTTCTATCCAAACTTACGTTTTGTGATACATACACAAGAAGGGTGTTGACTATATATCTTATTTAGCAGCCTAATTTCAAGGATCTGTATTGATCATTAGGCTATATATATATATCTTACAATTATATTATCAAAATATATTACAATTCTTTCATTCCTATTCAATTCTAGCTAGCTAGTTACTATATATACAATGAAATACATAAAATTAAAAGTAGAAAAGTTTGGTCCACGTGCAGAAAACATGAATAGGAGTCATGTACATTGAGGCCAAGATGAGAAAACTATTTTAATCAGCTTGATGTAGTACTTGAGCATTTCAACATAAATAAGCTTGTCCTTGGAGCTGCATAAATACACCATTAACAAAAATAATTAGTCGATTTAGTAAACTATTATTT